AATTAGAATAATTGATTTATTTGTGCAAGATTGTATGCACATATGTTTTACAATTGATGCACTGGCTAACAATAGGTGTCCCCAGCAACAGTAGAACCCCCCCAGCAAAGCATGCTCCCCCAGCAACAATAGCTTCTCTCCAGCATTCATTCATCAGTAGACCCTCCAAGCACTCCCCAGAACCCATTGCCATTACATACATTCATCACTGGTGGTACTGGAACTGCATTCCCCCGTGTTCCGACTGAAAAAAGCCCTGATTTAAAGCATAAGTTCACTTTGGGAATATGCTACAGGTTCCATCTGTTTTTAGAGTGGAACATGTTCCAGCATCTGCAGTCTCTCCCCCCCTCCCTGTGATAGCAGGAGGAAGATCCTCTCCATGTACCCGCTGTCACAATTTGAAAACAGTTTCCTGTGAATGAATGCCTACAAGTACTGTCAGCCATTACGGCTGACTGCTTGTTGTTCTCAATGAAGTATGAAGATGCCGTTGAGTGTTCTTTTAGTCCTACTCTCACATAACTGCCTTCTTGTGTTTTGTGACTGGGGATGCAAAATTAAAGGCTAAGTTCACTTTTTCTAAATTCCTGCTCCTCTGTGTACCAATATATCATTAATGTACCTTGTTGCAGACCTTACCTTGGTCCTTGCTGTATTTTTTTGAAAGCTTCATCACTTGCTGGTATGTAGATTTAGGACAAAAAAAACAGTAAGACACAGGAAGGATTTCATCAGCTGATGTTATTAGCCCCTACTTGTGGCTGCCTTCCCCTCCCTTTCAGCAGATCACTACAACCCACCTCCTCAGGTGCATGGTTTTCCAAAGCAATGCAATTTATCAGTGATCACTGTTCTCACTAAACACACAGGCATGTTTTTTGGCGGCTTCAGTTGTCAATCACTGCCCCAGCTGGTGATTCCCTGCTGGCACCCAGCAATCGCCGAGTAACATGAATGGGGAACACAGGTCTCTCTCCTGCCAGCAATAACATGCTGCTGTGTATGTCTCTGCACAGCAAAGAAATACATAGAAGCATGTTTCCCTAGTAAAACACACACAAAACAAAAAAATTTCATTTATGTACAGCGTTGCATGGCCACACAGTTGTCAAAGTAAAGCAGCACCATCTTGCAAAAATTGTCCTCGTCAGGAAGAAGAGGGGTAAATTCTCTGGAGGGCATGTGGTTAAAGTACATATTTCGCTTCAGTGTTTTACTAATGTGTGCATGCACCTCCTGTGTGGTGTGGACAACCTAACCAAGACCACAGGGACATATATTTAGCTATATCAAATCAATGGTACTGCAGTTGTAGAACCACAAATTGGAAATCATTTACCTGTATTGGAATGTCAAAAACAGTCATTCTTTACGAAATTGTACTGACCACAGCGATACAGTCTTTAGCAATATTGAGCATTGACAACCAATTAGCTGTTAGTTTAGAGAGGCCAAAGTTAGTATGCACAGTTCTGTTCTGAAGATTCCAGAATCATTTGTAGTTAAAGAGAGGAAGCTCCTGAAAGACCTCGAAGAGGGGAGGATTGCTTGATAGTACTGGCCAGTATTTATGTAAGATTGAACATCCTAATGAAAGGAAAATGAAAGAACCTCTGAAACATTTGTTGACTGTTTCGGGCTTTGAATTTCAAGAGGGACCCCCTATCTCACTTCTTGGCCCTATTAGCTGCCTCTGGCCCTATTAACACTTCTTAGGTGTTATCTGGAGCCAGTATGGCCTGTGACGTCTCATTATTTCAATGTTTAGACTGGTCATCAAAATTGGTAGTAAGTCTGCCAACAGGTAATTGTTCCTGTCTGTAGGTTTTCCATTCCAATCATCTGTAAGTAAGGAGCTTCCATTCTGGCACTCTGAAAAAAAATGTTCACATCAACAGTGCCAGGCATATTACCAGCTTCAACAACCTTGCATCTGAGGTATTTAAAGTAAAGAGCCTCATCTCTTGTCCTACAAACAAAAAAAATAGTTTTCTCCATAACAGGCACAAATTCTGGAGCCCCCTCACCTAGGTGACACATCAACAGGCTGCCAGCCTGTGACTCAGGCATCTCTATAAAATCCATGCCTACTTACCTCAGAATGTGACCAGAGCCTTGCACTATCTTCTATGAAAACTCAGGACTAACCGCTTTACTCACAACAAAACTACCAGTAGATTTCTTTCAGTAAAAAATGCCCATTCCCAGTCACCATAGTAACTCAGAGGCAAAACAATGGTTTATTGTGGGTAAAAAGGGATTCAAGAAATTGTATATTACATTTCACTTATTTGATGGTTGTATTGTGTTAAGTGTTTGGCCTTCATTGAAAAGACTAGATCATCCTGAACAAAGCTATAAATCATTGCCTTGTGACTAATAGAATGATTTACTTTTGTGCCTTGTAGAACAGAAAGGATGTTTTTACTAATTGTACTGTGTCATTAATCCTTTGAATTTTTGTTACGCAGAATTAGCATTTTATTGACTGGCCAATAAATGTCAGTGTGAGCATTGCAACACTGATCCGCGAAGCAGAGCTGCTACAGTTTAGTTTGATTTAACTGTTTTTTTTTTTCTATTTAAATTATTCCCCAGTGGGACAAGATGGCTGCCTTAACCCTGTCCATTGTCTTTCTTTAGTTAAAATTGTCAGTAATGGTAAAAAAGACTTTTTTGCCCATTGCAGTCATTAGTTGTAAAGTGCTCGGTCATTCCTATCAAAAACTCTTCAAACAGAAGTAATGATTGTAGGTTACTATAAGCATTATATAGTGTCAACATAATATACGAAATTAAAGGGAAATTAAAATATTTTGGGCCACTTGTTTTTTATGTATTTAAACTGTACAAGTCAACTCCCGCAGGCCACAGTGCGCCCCCCTAAAGTCTAAAGCACAATAAACTTGCCATTTATTTAGAAAGTTTGGAGACCCCTGAGGTACAGTATAAGTTGTAACTGAATACTTACACAAGCAAAAAACAAACATAACTTTGTCTGTAAACAGATGTGAGTGTCCCACTTATATAAAAGGACTCTAAAGGTTCCTAACAATGGGAGTCATATACACAAATCAATAAAAGTCATATATCTTTATTAAGACTATCCAAGTATAAAAGAGAGAAACATATCTCATAAAAACACATAACAGTATCCAGATTTATCAGGATGTCAAAAACATATACAACAAGCGTAAAGGATTGACGCATTTTGCTGTATAGGTTTCCTCGCGCTTAAGATGACTACAATAAAAGAGAAGAGCAAAAAAAAAATATATAACATACAAAATAACAAAATGAAATATAAACTTACTCAACTCAACCATAATAAAATAATTTGGCAGAGATAAGACAGGTGGTTTAATTGATTTCCTTGTTCCTTGATTGTCTGTTATATATGGGCCTGTGGTGCTCCTGTGTGGAAGGAGACTATGAAGAGTATACATTGACAAGCCTTAGCCAATTATTTTACATTGTCAATTTGTTGAAACTGGGTAAGTTGGCACCCTGTTGTGGATATCTGCTGGTGGGTCTGCTCTTTGGTCCATATTTTTTGACCCCCATGTGTTGACCCTCACATGTTGGCGGCCTCCTTTGTTGTAGCACAGATTTTTGGTGGAAGTAGGGCTTAGGCCCTCCCGCTTTCCCCCCTTTTTCCCCTCCCCTCCTTTCCCCTCCCCTCCCCTCCCCTCCTTTCCCCTCCCCCCCTCCCCTCCCCTCCCCTTCCCCTCCCCTCCCCTTCCCCTCCTTTCCCCTCCCCTCCTTTCCCCTCCTCTCCTTTCCCCTCCCCTCCCCTCCTTTCCCCCTCCCCTCCCCTCCCCTCCTTTCCCCTCCCCTCCCCTCCCTCCTTTCCCCTCCCCCTCCTTTCCCCTCCCCTCCCCTCCTTTCCCCTCCCCTCCTTTCCCCTCCCTCCTTTCCCCTCCCCTCCTTTCCCCTCCCCTCCTTTCCCCTCCCCTCCTTTCCCCTCTCCTCCTTTCCCCTCCCCTCCTTTCCCCTCCCCTCCTCTCCCCTCCTTTCCTCTCCCCTCCCCTTCTCTCCCCTCCCCTCCCCTCCCCTCCTTTCTCTCCCCTCCCCTTCTCTCTCTCCTCCCCTCCCCTCCTCTCCCTTCCCCTCCCCTCCCCTTTCCCCTCCCCTCCTCTCCCCCCTCCCCTCCTTTCCCCCCCAACCACCCGTCTTATCCAAATTATTTTATTACAATTGAGTTGTGTTACTTTATATTTCATTTTTTGTTATGTTGTATGTTATGTATTTTTTTTTTTTTTGTTTTCTTTTACTGTAGTCATCTTTCTCAAGCGTGGATCCTGAGGAAGCAAATACAGTAAAATACATCGATCTTTTACGCTTGTTGTATATGTTTTTGACATCCTGATACAACTGGATACTGTTGTGTTTTTATGAGATATGTTTTTCTCTTTTATACTTGAATAATTAAATAAACAAATATGACTTTTATTGATTTGTATATATGTCTACCATTGTTAGGCCCATTTAGAGTCCCATAAAAGCAGGACACTCGTGTCTGTTTACAGACGGAGCTACCAGCTTTCTTTGATTTATGCATCTCGGTGCCGCCAATCTCTTGTTTCCTCATTGCAGCCATTTTCTGTCTACTTGCCTTCTCCAGCCATAGCTGCATGACATTTTTATTTTCGAGTTCCTGATCATAATATCAGTGGGCCATATCGCTGTAATGTGTGTTGAAACTGCCACTTGTAGTAAACAACAGAAGAATGTGTGACATGGTGACAATGCAGCAGCATTATTGGTGGAGAGGGACAGAGAGTTTTCATCTTACAACACGAAGTTCCTAAACAAGGACTTTCATGACAGGCTAAAAGCGAGACAGTTGAGTTTCAAAGTTCTTAATTCACATGCTGAGCATACTGCAATTACAGTTACACTGCTGATGATATTTCAACAAGTTTAGTCTTAATATTTACATATTTAAATATATTTAGAAAAAAATGATAAGCCAGTGGTTTTGTCCTTGCTTGCAGATCAGAGGGCATCATGCTGCAAGTTTAGACCCATTAGGCATTAACCAAGTCTTTTTTAATGGTTCCACGGATGAAGATGCAGTGGGGCACACAGATATTGGTGAGCATTCCTTTAACCTTAAAGATGATGTTGTCTTGTGATTTTGTTTTGTTTTCTTTGGCTTACCTCTTCAAATCGGGTAGATTCGTGGACATCATGTGGCTCAGCTGGACCCTCTTGGAATCCTGGATGCTGATTTGGACTCTTTTGTTCCATCGGATCTTATCACCACAATTGATAAACTGGGTGAGAACGCAAGACTCTGACTTGCCAGAAACTCAGAAGATAGAGGTCGGGTTCTAGCTTTTTTTGTGCTATAAAGTAGCTTGTTTTGTGGTAGTTTGTTCTTGGCATTCACTGCTTACACTACCTAAACTAAAGAAAAAGATCAATGTCTTTCTGTGCATGTGCTGATCATCACATTATTCCTGATTGTACAATGAGTACAGATGTAGCCTTTCCTAATATGGTATAGTCATGGCCTTATAATACAGTATACAAAAGAAATTAAATAATTTATACAGTGACAATGGCTACATCTGTAATGCTCATAATAGCATGCTCTTTGCCCATCAAACTGTTTTGGTCTTAAAATATTGTGGTGGTGTCTTGCTGGTTTATGTATGTATGTTCTCCCCTTTGAAGTTTCTATTGGCAACTAACAGCATTTTAAATACTTTCAATAAGGGATATTGACATATATTCTTCCATGTTTTTTTGTACATTTATTTTGTTTAAAGAAAAGAAATGATTGGTTGATTTTATTAATCTATTTTAGCATTTTAAATAATTTTAATGGTTTTTGGTGTAGTTTTTGCTACACCTTTCCCCCTTTTCAAAATGTGTTTGTTGCAGCACTTACCCTAATAGCAAGTGCTTTTCAACATAGCCTATCTCAAGTAAGTGCTAAGACTTTGATCAGTACTCATGTCTTCATTTAATTATAAGGTTCCATGCACACTAGTCATTTTAATAACGCTGTTAATGTTAGTTGTGTAAAGTCACGTTAAAAACGTGAGTTTTTCATAGTTTTTTGCATTAGCGTTTAGCGGAGTGTTGCCATGTTTTTTGCATTTTTCCACGTTTGCGGTTTTTAGCGGGTTTTTTGACCAAAAAAAATTATAATTTTTTTGCTCCAAGAATATCCAATAATGCCGGCTTGCCATGATTTACCACATTTTGCCACGTTTTTACAGCTAAAAAAACTCCTCTAGAAACCCACTAGTTCTGGGGTTTTTTCCAGCCAAAAAATGCCCCTGCCAAAAAACCGCTGACTACAGTCTGTGTGTGTAGGAACGCATAGGATAACATGCTGGGGAGTTTACTGGCTGTAGAAAAAAAGTCAAAAGCCAAAAACAGCTGCTGTAAAAACGTCCAGTGTGCATGAGGACTAAGGGCTGTAGAGCACTGAACATCCACTGCCAGGTGGTAAGTAGAATGGGGCAGTGTATTTTTTTTTACAGTACAGCAGCTTTAACAATAGCTGCTCTAATTGCTCTAACTCCTGGCCTATAGTGACTGGCCTTGTCAGGCTTAATCTACATGTTGGGTATGTCTTGATCAATTTGCCTGGTCCCATGTTTGGTAGCTAAGCTTGTTTGGTTTTGTCCGTGCTAGCTTGGTAGTACCCAGACTTGCCTCTTATATGTAGTGAGTGCCTGAGTTTATTTGATTTCACTTATAGTTGCTAGTGTTAGCTATAATAGCTGAGTTCTTGCTGTGCCTGCCTTTGATGGTTAGTTTTGGGGGGTTGTTAATTATAACCTGCCGTTTATATGTTGTCAATCTTATGCTTAAAGTGGAAGTCCAGTCTAATCTTACACCTACTCCCATCCCCGTTCTACGTCCTATACTAACTAAACTTTAGAGGAAAAGTGTGTTTACTTATTTAGTCCCTGGGCGCTCTGGTCTGATCACATGATTGGCTCCCAGCTCCGGCTTCAGGGTACCGCTGTCAACAGATACCCTATAGCAAGGGTAGGCAACTGTGACCATCCAACTGTTACAGAGCTAAGTCCCACCATGCCTTTACCTCGGAAAGTCATGCTTGTAATGGTGAGTTTTGCAATTCTTTATAGGATATATAGTTCCACAACAACTGGATGGCCACAGTTGTCCACCCTTGCCCTATAGGAAGCCTATAGGTAACATCACCGCCCAGGCATTGCAGCCGGTGTCAGCAATCTCTCTTGTCCCCTGAAACTGTCACTGGAGCCGATCACATGACCATACTGGAGCATCCAAGGAATAGTTAGGATAGTACTTAGAATGGGGGAAAGAGCAGGTTTAAACCAGACTTCTACTTTAATTTTTTTTTTCCAAAGAATCTTTTTTGGAAAGTATATTTTTCCTTCATGGAGACTTTGTGAATTTTTAGGGAGTACATGGCAAATCTACTGTTGCCTGACAGTGGACATACCTGACCCTACCCTAGCCCAATGGCTTGTCACTGGTAGTGTTTGATTTTTATCTTTGTAGAAATTTGAGGATTCTTAGCTGTTTGGGATGGCTCTGTATACTATGTGCATTTGTAGCCTGCCGTCTATTATTTCTCAGGGCTATGAACTGTCTCCTTCTCCAGAGCCCATGTGAGTGATTGATGGCTGTGTTTTTGAGTATAAGGTATTGCATCTGTCATGAAGAGGTGGATGATCTGCAGCGCCTGAATGGTATCGCGCATAATAAACCTCTGGATTAATGAGCTCCAGCTGCTTACAGCATTCAGACAATCTTTGTTGTTTTTCAATTTACCCACTTCATCTTTTTGATTTTCAGAAGTGTTGATACATGGTTTTACTCCTCACTGTTTAGCTTGGTTAGTTTTTGTATAGATCTAAAACAAGACGTTTGTTTTCCTTGATTTCAAGCAAACACAAATAAATTATTTGTAGTTTCTGAATTTATTTGGTTTCCAATATTTTATTTTAGATACTTTTTTTTTCTTTAATTGGTCACTTTGTTCCTCTGGCATTGCACGTCATATCGCAATAACATATCTATTAATTCTCAAGGGAAATACTCAGTGGTCGTTTCTGGATTCAAACTTTTCATTTCATCCAGAAAAAAGTTTCTTGTTTTTTTTTATTGGCTCTAAAGTCCATTGAATTTTGTTGAAGTCATTTTACAGATTTTTTTTACTTTGCAGTGTCATATTTGCTTATTATCTTCATTATTTTTAAATACTAAATCTTTGAGCTGTGTTGTCCAGGTATTGATCGCTTTGTGCTGGGTTTTTAGAGGATAGTAATTCATAGTGTATTTAAGCTGTCAAATTCAGTCACTTTCCATTAGGCATTGACCTTACGTTTTTCCTTTTTTTCCTACTTCTTCTACCCACTTGATTTATAAACCCAAAGACCTGTAGTCAAGAAATTTCCTGTGTCCTCTGATTGCCTGCTTAGATGTAACTGTGCGTTCAAGACAATATTAATATTCCAGGCATGAATGATCCTGTATTAGCTTCAACAAGCTATCACTCAGCTAAGTCACAGTAGAAGGTTATAGAGAGGCAGATGCTATAATATTGTCTCAACTCTTGTAAATTGTACTTTAAAATTAAACAGTCCATTGATTTTGTGCTTGTATTCTTATCAGTGTCAATAGTCCACTGTATGAAATTATTTAATTATGTTCTCTATAACTACTATGGTATCCTAAATTTATTTAATAATCTTTTCTTCTATGTACCATGCATGTAGAAACTAGGACTGATCACCTGATTTATAATATTCCTAATCCATTAAATCAGTGCAGTAGACTTGCATGGCCTATTCAATATTTTATTTGATGTTTATATAACAATTTAGTTATCACTTTATTGGTCTGTAGAACTTTTTGTATGTTTGTAAAACTTAGGTTTCTATGGATTGCATGAGGGCGATTTAGATAAAGTTTTTAGACTGCCGACAACTACCTATATTGGAGGTAATGAAACTTCCCTGTCACTGCGAGAGATCATTAAAAGATTGGAGGTAACCTATTTTTCTTTCAAACGGAATGTCATAATTTTGATAAAAAGTACTATGTATCTAAAACATTTGTCACATGTATTTTAAAACCATTTTACTAAAACTACAGGGCTACTGTAAGGGCTTGTTCAGATGGAAGATTTATTCCCTTTACTCCTAGCAGATGCGGGTGCATCCATCTTGGAGCTGCATGCAGGCAGCCAATGGAAGTGGATGAACATGCATGCAATCGCATTTTCAAGTTTGATATGGGGATAGGAGTGGATGCATGGATCTGAAAGCAGAGGCTGCGTTCAGATCTGTGCTCCTGCTCCTGCCCACATGTCGAACTTTGACATGTGATTGTGTCCATGCTGGCACTGCTTGTGCATCCACTTCTATGGACTCCCTGGCTGCAGCTCTGAGGTGGGATCACACGCATCTGCTGGCAGCTCTGTACAGAGAACGGCACTAATCTGCTGTCTGAACGAGCCCTTACTGTGCTAAAATGCTCAGCACTGACTTTTGATTGATTACAAATTATTACAGTTTGCTTCACATCACTGAAAAGGATGTATCAAGAATCAGCTGCAGACGACCTTATCATTCTTCAGTGCAAAGTGACTGTCTTTTCAAAACTCACCCCCCAACCCACTTTGCTGTGCTTCCAAGCCACTTTGTGCTGCTTAGGAGCTGCCTTGAAATAACTGGTACTTTCATGTATGGGGGATGACCTCCTCCCATGGTGCAAAACCTTTACCTGATGGAGGGGAGAACATCCTTAATTCTATGTAAACTCCAACAAGAAACTTGAACAAGAATAATATTGCAGGGCACTGGAGCAGCAGGGCAGTAAGGTTAAGGTGAGTTGGGGGATGAGCGTCAATGAGATTCTGCTCATATATTCTCTTTAAATGGCATAAATAAAGGCAAAATCCAATAGGTATAGCTCTTGTAATGGCAAAGCCAGGTAGCTAAACTGAGAATCTGGGTGCAGAGACCTTGTTACATGAGTTCTGAGAAATGACGTCTGTGGGCAAGCCATATTTTTTTGTAATCCATACCAAATCTGAAATATCAGCTGTTTGTGGAGAGACTTTAGATATACAGTTAGTGCCGAACGTATTGGTACCCCTCTGCTTTTTTCCTGAAAGAAAATCCCTGTTACATACTCCTATAAATAATAAAACAATCCTTAGGTGTTAAAGTGCTTGTAAACACAAGCCCTGGATTAGCACCCTGGTTTACACATATGCTCTTTGTGATGTGTTTGTATGCATGACAGGCCAGATAGCATGGCATGCCTTCCTATGGAGGCAGATCACCTGTGATTCTAAAAAGGGTCCTGTGCGACTTCAATGTAATTAATATCACATCCAAATATAAAAGAGAACGAGCGCTAGATCTATAAAAGGAGCAGCTAGCATGAAAGGTAATAACCCCAGAACCTTCTATAACACAAAATATATCCAACAACATGCAGCGCTGAAATGGTTAATGATTGCCATGAATAGTTACTATTATGATATACCCTATAATATCGTATATTGTACGAGTATCTATAAAGCGTCTCTAATTAGCCGAGAAAGTTATGTAATAAGCCAGCATTCCACAACAGTACAGATAGGTGATATAATCGTGAGTCTATCTAATAGTTAGGATATTGATGGTGACTTTGGTGGTAGATATAGCTGTAGATTGCACTAACCAGATAGCGCTTAATATTGCGCATATGATTGATGATAATGGGTCATCTATGGTTGGACATCTGGTATTCGGATCAATTGATGAACAGCACCAGGAATTGCAGCATGTCAGCCAGTATATCCAGGTATAGAGATGCGGTCTGAATCCACCAGGGGGAACCAGTGGTCAAGATGTCATCAAGGATCTTTAACCCAGTGTCGAGGTGTGTGTGTAGTATAGGCGAAATCCCCCAGAGGGTGCCAGTAGTTAAGGATGTCTTCAAATGGTCTCCTTTAAAGGCAGGCTCATAGAGAAATGAGCCCAAGCACAAAAGATTCCATAGTGCAACACAGCTTTTTTGTAGTAAATAATAGTAAAGGAATGACACTTACACTTAAAAATGCCTATTTGGCACCTGGCCAGGTGAAGAGTCCACGTGGTAAAGTCACTGAGAGCAACTTCCTAATATCACAGGTGTCTTCAATCTTGTCATCAGTCATTCAGCCTATTTGAATGGAGAAATATACTCCAAAGAAAAGCAGAACTGTCTGAAGAGGAAAGGAACAAGGTAGTAGAAAAGCATGGTAGAGGTTTAGGCTACAAAACCATCTCTAAAACATTTAACGTTCCATATACTGTGGCGACTTTTACCATCATAAATTTGGTGCTGTAGCAAACCTCCCTAGATGGTGCTGAAAGAGGAATATGAACCTCAGATTGAGCAGAAACATAACCCAAATGGTGGAAAAAGAACAAAGGAAAACTTCAAAAAGATCCTGGTTGGCCTTGTTAAATGTTCAACAATATTAAGTATAACCATTAATTTCTATCTGAATTAAAGTTGCCTCCATTTTAGAAGACCCAAGAATACCCCACTTCTTAACCCTTTGAGGACCAAGGGATGTATTTGTCTCATGTTTTTAATTGCGTGTATCATCTGATTAAGAACTTAAAACTCTTTTTTTTTTTTCTTTTTTTTTTTGGGTTGAGTCAAAATATTAGTTTTTATCAACAAACAACAGATGGATCTAGCTTTTTGCCAATTATTTATGAAATGGCTTAATTACAGCAACTGAAGTGTACGAACTTTAAAAACAAAAAAAAAAACTTGATTCTTTTGGTGTTCAAAAATCTTACGGTCCTCAAAGGGTTAAAGACAGACCAAAAAAAGTCAGACTTGAGTCTGCTAAAGTGCATGTTGACAAGCCACAGTCCTGGGAGAATGTCCTTTGAAAGGATGAAACAAAGTTAGAGCTTTTTTTTTTAGAAATCTCAACAAACCTATGTTAACAGATAAAAAGTATACAAATAAAAAAACACAATCTCTAATGTGAAACATTGAAGAGTTTCCATAATGTTTAGGGGCTGCTTTGCTACAAATTGGACAGGGCTCTATGAAATCGTAAGATTATTAAGACATGGTGGAGCAAAACATGCCAAATGTTCAAAAGTTCTGTCTCAGTTGCCGGCAATGAAACTGTGTTTCAACCCATACATCTAAAATGGTAGAAAATGAAACACTGGATTGTTTTGAAGTGACCTGCTATGAGTCCTTAACTGAATCCATTAAAACATCTTTGGAAAGAGGAACTAAAACAGTTTGGAGAAGGAACCCATCAAACCTAAGACAACTGGAGCAGTTTGCTCAGTAAGAAAGTGCTTTGAAGTTATTGCCTCAAAGGGTGTCATTAGGGGTAACAATAATTATGCCCATGCTATTTTAATTTTTATTATTTACAAGAATATGCTAAGTCATAAAGCAAAAACAAAGTATCTGCTCTTTTGATTGTAGGATAAAGAATGTTGATTGCATTTGTATGCTATAATAGTTCTTGTGCTTTGCAGAATTCATACTGTCAACATATTGGGCTAGAATTCATGTTCATCAATGATGTGGAACAGTGCCAGTGGATTAGACAAAAATTTGAGACGCCTGGTATCATGAGGTTTACCAGTGATGAAAAGAGAACACTGTTAGCAAGATTAGTGCGCTCTACAAGGTATTCGATTATTGACTTTATGGTATTGTGATCTTACTGTATAACACAGTTGTCATGATTGGGGCTTGGCAGAGCACCAGTGGCAAGCCCAGGTGGCAGGGTTTCCTGTAGGAAGAGCATGCAGATTGCTGGTTGAGAAGCTGGGTATTGGTTGTTATCCCATAGGTGGGATATATGCAGTGCTGAATAGGAGGACAAGGACTGTTGCAGTCTAGTGGTGGCTGTGAAGTACATAGTATTGGGAATATATAGAGAGCCTGGGTTAGCATCAGCAGTTCAAAACACAATGCAAGATAACAGCAAAAAAAAAAAGGCTTGGTCATAAACGATTTACGTTCACCGATGGTCAAATGAGGTACAGAAATGGTAAGCTATTCAAGTTCCAGGCTGAGGACTTAAGGAAACAGGCAGGCAGTGAAAGTAGTGGAACAGAAACGGGGAAACAGGATCAGGCAATGATAGTTAGATCTTGGCATTACAGGGCCTTCCTGTGCTCAAAATGAGGTGTATAAAAGCTACAACCTTGAAGGTTATTTAAACCTTAAAATAGAAATTAATTAATACAGGTTACCAGTTCTTAGATATGGTGGCTTTATTTATTTTCTTGTTTCAGGCTAAGAACATTTCTAGTAAGTACAGAAATTATGGGTTGACTTTGCCAGAAATGCATTGTTGTTGTCACTTTCTGTGAGCTGAAAAGAGAGCACAATCATCCTTCTCTTTATTGCGTAAACTACTACTCCCGCCAATACACCATGTAATGAAGGTAAGCACAGGCAGAGATGTTTGAAGTCAGCCTGTGTACCAAGCATGGCTCCCTCGATAGATAAAATGGAGAGCTTAGACAAGAAGGGACCGGAAGTGTGTTAAATGCAGCATAATCGGGTAAAAATCAAGAGAAAAGAAGCCAGGAAAAAGGAAAAATAAAGGCTCCATTCACACTTGTAATAGGATTACATCTTGGCAGTTACTCATCACAGCTGAGTGGCTGCTCTTTTTGGTTCAAAGGTCTACTGACCTTCACCAAGCCATGGCAGTATGCAGGCAGAGATGTGGTGGGGAGGGATGGGCTCCCAAATCCCTATAGAGCCTTCTGCACTATTTGTCCTGTAATGTCCCCCCCAAGGGTCAGATTAACTCTAAATCCCTGCCATGATCTGGTATTGCCTAACTGTTTTGGAATGCCTGGGATGCAAGTGTTGGTGAAGCCCCCCCCCCCCTCCTATTTTGTTTTTTTTTGCAGGAGGAATGAAGGAAGCTCTTGAGGATTGAATCCTCTCTAGAGGTGTCCCCTCAGTAGGAGCCTGAAGGTCAGGAATTATCTCGGACACAAAAGACTACATTGGGCTTCCTGTCAGACATGGAGGGAGATTTACTAAAACTGGTGCACACAGAATCTGTTGCAGCTGTGCATAGTAACCAATCCAATTCTAGGTTTTATTGTCAAAGTTTAATTGAACAAGTTAGAAACTATGCAGAGCTGCACCATATGCTGTGTGCACCAGTTTTTGTAAATCTCCCCCATGGTGTGAACCAACTTGAAGTTGCCACTTCCAGAGTCTTTTCCAAAAGACCCTGGATTACCTGTCCTGGTGACCTCCAAACATCCCACATATCACTTCCTTATTTACAGAAAGTGATATATGCTATTTGGGCTCACCTAGAGAAAATGTTTTGTTTATCCCATGGAGGAAGAGTGCCACAAGAAATGGGGTTCTGTGGCTGTTGACCTGGCTGATGGTCCCAATGGTTGAGATTCTGGTCTTTAATCACTTCCTTCCTGCTACAGGGCGGCAGGGATGTGCAAAATTACACACACACACATATATATATATATATATATATATATATATATATACAGTCAGGTCCATAAATATTGGGACATGGACACAATTCTAACATTTTTGGCTCTATACACCACCACAATGAATTTGAAATGACAGGAACAAGATGTGCTTTAACTGCAGACTGTCAGCTTTAATTTGAGGGTATTTCCATCCAAATCAGGTGAACGGTGTAGGAATTACAACAGTTTGCATATGTGCCTCCTACTTGTTAAGGGACCAAAAGTAATGGGACAGAATAATAATCATAAATCAAACTTTCACTTTTTAATTCTTGGTTGCAAATCCTTTGCCGTCAATTACAGCCTGAAGTGTGGAACGCATAGACATCACCAGACGCTGGGTTTCATCCCTGGTGATGCTCTGCCAGGCCTCTACTGCAACTGTCTTCAGTTCCTGCTTGTTCTTGGGGCATTTTCCCTTCAGTTTTGTCTTCAGCAAGTGAAATGCATGCTCAATCGGATTCAGGTCAGGTGATTGACTTGGCCATTGCATAACATTCCACTTCTTTCCCTTCAAAAACTCTTTGGTTGCTTTTGCAGTATGCTTTGGGTCATTGTCCATCTGCACTGTGAAGCGCCCAATGAGTTGTGAAGCATTTGGCTGAATATGAGCAGATAATATTCCCGAAACACTTCAGAATTCATCCGGCTGCTTTTGTCAGCAGTCACATCATCAATAAATACAAGAGAAGCAGTTCCATTGGCAGCCATACATGCCCACAAAAATGACACTACCACCACCATGCTTCACTGATGAGGTGGTATGCTTAGGATCATGAGCAGTTCCTTTCCTTCTCCATACTCTTCTCTTCCCATCACTCTGGTACAAGTTGATCTCGGTCTCATCTGTCCATAGGATGTTGTTCCAGAACTGTGAAGGCTTTTTTACATGTCGTTTGGCAAACTCTAATCTGGCCTTCCTGTTTTTGAGGCTCACCAATAGTTTCCATCTTGTGGTGAACCCTCTGTATTCACTCTGGTGAAGTCCTCTCTTGATTGTTGACTTTGACACACATACACCTACCTCCTGGAGAGTGTTCTTGATCTGGCCAACTGTTGTGAAGGGTGTTTTCTTCACCAGGGAAAGAATTCTTCGCTCATCCACCACAGTTGTTTTCCGTGGTCTTCCGGGTCTTTTGGTGTTGCTGAGCTCACCGGTGCGTTCCTTCTTTTTAAGAATGTTCCAAACAGTTGTTTTGGCCACACCTAATGTTTTTGCTATCTCTCTGATGGGTTTGCTTTGTTTTTTCAGCCTAATGATGGCTTGCTTCACTGATAGTGACAGCTCTTTGGATCTCATCTTGAGAGTTGACAGCAACAGATTCCAAATGCAAATAGCACACTTGAAATGCACTCTGGACCTTTTATCTGCTCATTGTAATTGGGATAACGAGGGAATAACACACCTGGCCATGGAACAGCTGAGAAGCCAATTGTCCCATTACTTTTGGTCCCTTAACAAGTGGGAGGCACATATGCAAACTATTGTAATTCCTACACCGTTCACCTGATTTGGATGTAAATACTCTCAAATTAAAGCTGACAGTCTACAGTTAAAGCACATCTTGTTTGTTTCATTTCAGATTCATTGTGGTGGTGTATAGAGCCAAAAATGTTAGAATTGTGTCGATGTCCCAATATTTATGGACCTGACTGTATATATATAATTTGCATATCCGGGTAGGGGGCACGTGCGCGCTCCCTACCCGTGCTGCTATTGGCTCCTTGGCATTTCACTCACCTGGCACTTATTCTCAGCCGGGACTCGGTGATCGCCGTCAGAGCTAACAAGGGAGAGGTCTGTGTGTAAACAATACAGATCTCTCCCCTGTCAGCACAAACAGGCTGCTTTGTATTGCACTGCACAGTAGAGCAATACAAAGCAGCTTGTCTACATAGTCTACATAGTAAAACACAACACATTTTGAAAAACACAACACAGCACACTGTTAACCCTTTGATAACCCCAGATGTTAGCCCCTTCCTGCCCAGTGTCATTAGTACAGTGACAGTGCTTTTTATTATCACTGATCACTGTATTAGTGTCACCGAGGATGTCAGTGGCGGTTAGTCAGTTCCCACCCAGTGTCAGAATGCCCGCCACAGTCCCGTAATAAGTGGCTGATTGTCGCCATTACTAAAATAAAAATAAAAATTTCAGTATATATACCGCCATTTGTAGATGCTATAACTTTCACATAGACCAATTAATTTACACGGATTAGGATTTTGTTTTTAGCAAAAACATGTAGCAGAATACATTTTGGCCCAAATTTATGAAGACATTTTATTTTTAACATTTTTTTTACTGGATATGTTTTAAAGGAAAAATTTTTTTTTGTTTTTTTTTTTTTCAAAATTGCTGGTCTTTTTTTGTTTTAGAGTGTAAAAAATTAAAACTGAACATGTGCTCAAATTCCACCTAAAGAAAGCTCTATTTGTGGGAAAAAATGACATAAATTTTATTTATGTACAATGTTGCATGACCGCGCGCAACTGTTAGTTGAAGTAACGAGGCGCAGTATCGCAAAAAATGGCCTGGTCAGGAAGGGGGGTAAATCCTCTGGAGGGCAAGCGGTTAAATACAACACAGATAAGAGGTTGGAGGTCCTCTTTAAGGTGTCTTTCTCTTTGGTAGGAGCACTGTACAGCCTGCAGTGGCTGTGGTGGGAGTTTGGAAACCTCTCAAAGTTTGGCCAAGGTGTATGCTTTGTCCCTGTGAGCCAGAGTATCTTGATGGATGCCTTGGAATATTCTGTGTGGCAGCTTATCCAGTTGGGCACCATATCTGTCCAATTAAGAATCCTATGGCTCAAATGGTGATCGACAGAACTTGGATTCCTTCATCCAGAAAGTAGGATTGTGGGGAAAAGCACACTTTTACCCATAAAGAAGAAGGTGACAGGTCAGAAACCTGTGCCACACTCACAATGCAGGAAGAACCCCGAGCTCCAAGCAGAAACCTATGTCCTAGTTTCATAAGTGAATTGGACCCCCTAGCCCTTTTAATCCAGAAGCAAATAATTTTCATAGTGAAGTGGAACCCCACCTCACAAGGGTGTGAAGACATCTTTCAGCCTCCATGGCTATCTGGCTTCTGGAAGTCACAGACAACTTGATCTGCAGCATGTTTTTTAGAGGTTACAAGGTAGAATTTCACTTCTTTCTTCCTCCATGCTTAATGTTCTTGAGGGTATCTTTGAACTCACAAAAAGAGTTGTTTTCTTTGCAGCTTCATCAGGGAGACCTGTTGTCATCAATGGATATCAAGGATATCTATCTACGTGTCCAGATTTTCCAGCCTAACTAATGGTTTCTGCAATTCACTGTAAATTGCTACTACTAGTTTTTGGCGTTGCCTTTTGCTCTTTCCACCACTCCCAGAGCGTTTACCAGGATGTTGGCTCCCATTGTGGAGTTATTGAGGATCCAGGGTATTGCCATTGTAGAGTATCTAGGCAATCTGCTTCTAAGGGTGCAATTAGTTCAGATACTTCAGTTCAGATGGGTGCTGAATCTTCAATAGTTGGCTCTGGTTCTAACACAACATCTAGAGCAGTGTTTCTCAACCTTTTTTTTAGTTAAGGCACCCTTTAATATTATGGACAAAGTTAAATCCCGTGGCATCCTTATAAAATATAGACAGTCTTGAGGCATCCCATTCTGAAAATGTAAAACTATTCTAATAGTTTTATATAACGCAGCAACATCTACACATGTAGGACTCCCAACAAAGTGATTTACAACAAAGCAAATACGCTTTTGCACACTGGTACTGACTAGTATTCCAGTGTTTCTCTTCTCCCTCAGTTTCTCTCCTTCACTCAGTTAATGTGACCCCAGTGCTGATGGAAAAAGCCAGGGGAGGGTCAAACAAGGATGCTGTGCAGGCGACCAACATCCTCCTTATCAACTAATGATGTCATTGGTTGTCAGGATTCCGGCAGCTAGAAGGTCATATTGGTGCACAATGAAAACCTGTGGCTTTTTTTTTTTTTTTTTTTTTTTTTTTTTTAGCTAAAAGGCAGGCGCAATGAAAACCTGCTGGCTTGTATACCAGTTTTGGCCAGTTTTTAGACATTTTGCCAAGGCACCCCTGAAGAAATCTCAAGGCACCCCAGGGCCCCTGGTTTTAAAAGGCTGATCTAGAGTACTTAAGATTAATCCTTGACACAATACAGGCAAAAGTACTGCTTCTACCAGATAAATGCCTGTCTCTTCAATCCCAGGAGGAGTCTCTGAGGTTGTTGCGAAGTCCCTCTATTCTTCAAGGTGCTTGGGAAGATGGAAGCTACTTACGATGCCATCCCATATGCTTAGTTTTACTATAGGGGTCTTCAACTCAATATTCTGTTGGTTGGTGCAAGCGGCAGGAGTCCTTGGATTAGCCAATGTATCTGGCTCCCAAGGTTGAATCAGCTCTGGAATAGTGGTGCTCCACCAAATCCTGGGGATAATCCTTCCCATTAAGTGGAATATCTTGACTTTGAATGCCAGCTTTTGGGGTGTTCTGGAGAACCTCTCAGTCCAAGGAACTTGGTCGTCAGTGAAGTGGAGATTGCTGATCAACATCACAGAGCTTCGGGCAAATCAGCTGGCTCTCTTGCACTGGTCTGTTTGCCTTCCCTATCAAGGGCAGTTTAACAATTTAATGGCAGTGGCATTCATCAGCTATCAAGAAAGGGAAAGTAGTTGTCCTGCTTAGGAAGAAGGGAACTTGATCTTGTCTTGGATAAAACTTTCTGTTTTGGCCTTCTCAGTTATACACATACCGTTGTGGAAAAATGTCAGGCTGACTTTAACAGCTGTCAACAGGTTAACCCAGGGGGCCCTGCACCCATTCGCAGAATCTTTTCTACTATGGGAAACATTGGATGTGGATCTCTTGGCATCCAGATTAAGTAACAAACTGGGAAGGTGTTGTCCCGGACCAGAGATCCTCAGGTGTTTGCAGTGGATGCCCAGGTAAAAAGGTAAAGGACTTTCTGCTGTTTCCAATCTCACCTGCTTGGTCAATAACAACATGGTATGCAGACTTAGTACATCTCTTGGCAGGCCAGCCTTGGGCTCTTCCAGTTTAACAGACTTGCTGTCACAGGGTCTGACCTTCCATCCTGCTTTATAGTTGCTTTATAGTTGCTGGCTTTGAGTGTATGGCTGTTGAAGTCTATGTCCTAAGGGACAGGCAGGTATTTCTAACACTGTATTTCCTACCCTTCTCGGGGCAAGATTTTTGAACTCCAGGAGTGTGTACCATCGTATATGAAAGGCTTACTTTGCCTGCTGTGTGGCTTGTAAGTTTCATCTCTGAAAGCAGTTGTGGGGTGCATTTTGGCTTTTCTCCAGTCTTGTGTGGCGATGTCTCTCGTCTTGAGTGCTTTTAAGGGATAGATCTCAGCCTTGGCCATTCTGTTTCCCATTCTGTTCTGTGTCTGATTCATTGGTAATTTATTTTTATATTCCTCAGTAAATGTGTACGTTTAGTTATCTAAAACCATACATGTAAAGCACTATCCTCAGTGTTCACAAACATAGGTAATGTCCCTTTAAATCTACAATACACCACGTGCAATTTGTTTGAAAGAAAAAATCCCCAAAACAGTCCTTTTTCTGTTCAAAATAATATTAAAAACAAAATAAAAGTGAAAACAAAAGATTCAAATAATCTTGTACAAGGATTAAAACAAACCAATCCAGCCAACACTACCAGAAAAGATAGCCAAACTCTTTTTACTCTGTAATATGACCCCAATACTGCAAGGAGGTCCAAAAGCGGTTGCTGTAATACGACCATTCCACGTTCCTTCCTGCTCCAGACCCACACAGATGTATTTTCCAGGATCTCATGGACATCTCACAGGACCCACATGGATGGTTTCCAGGGCATATAGTGGATATAAAAAGTCTACACACCCCGGTTAAAATGTCAGGTGTCTGTGATGTAAAAAAATGAGATAAATCATTTCAAATCTTTATCCACCTTTTAATGTAACCTATAAACTGTACAACTCAGTTGAACAACAAACTGAAATCTTTTAGTTAGAGGGAAGTATAAATAAAAAACTAAAATAATATGGTTGCATGAGTGTGCACACCCTTAAACTAATACTTTGTTGAAGTACCTTTTGATTTTATTACATCACTCTTTGTCTTTTTGGGTATGAGTCTTATCAGCATGGCACATCTTGACTTGGCAATATTTGCCCACTCTTACAAAAACATTCCAAATCTGTCAGATTGCGAGCTCATCTCCTGTGCACAGCCCTCTTCAGATCACCCTGCATATTTTTGATCGGATTCAGGTCTGGACTCTGGCTGGGCCATTTCAAAACTTTAATCTTCTTCTGGTGAAGCCAGATGTGATTTTGCAAAATTTAGCCGGGCTTGGATTCTTTTCTTTGTAAGAAAAGGCTTCGGTCTTGCCACTCTACCCCATAGCCCGAAGAATATGGGAGATTGTTGTCACATGTACCACACAGCCAGTACTTGCCAGATATTCTTGCAGCTCCTTTAATGTTGCAGTAGGCCTTTTGGCAGCCTCCCAGACCAGTTTTGTTCTCCTCTTTTCAACAATTTTGGAGGGACGTTCAGTTCTTGGTATTATTATTATTATTATACAGTATTTATATAGTGCCAAAGGGTATGCTCAGCGCTGTACAGTAGCAAGGGGGACAGAACATGAGACAAGACAGTAACAATACACTACACGAGGGGTTCGAGGGCCCTGCTCTCTTTCGAGCTTACAATTCTTGGTAATATCACTGTTGCGCCATATTTTCTCCACTTGATGATGACCGTCTTCACAGAGTTTCATGGAATATCTAATGCCTTGTAAATTCTTTTGTACCCTTCTCCTGACTGATACCTTTTAACATTGAGATCCCTCTGATGCTTTGGAAGCTCTCTACGAACCATGGCTTTTGCTGTAGGATGCGACTAAGAAAATGTCAGGAAAGACCTACTAGAACAGATGAACATTATGTGAGGTTAATCAGAGGCACTTGAAATGTGTACTGACTCCTATTTAACATGATTTTGAATGTGATTGCTAAATTCTGAACACAGCTACATCCCCAGTCATAAGAGGTGTGCACACTTATGCAACCACATTATTTTAGTTTTTTATGTTTACTCCCCCCCCCCCCCCCCTTCCCAAAAGATTTTTTTGTTTTTCAATTGAGTTGTACAGTTTATAGGTCACATTAAAAGTGGAAATAGTTCTGAAATTATTTATCTTTATCTCATTTTTTTACATCACAGAAACCTGATATTTTCACAGGGGTGTGTATACTTTTTCTATTTGACCCCACATGACTGTGGGACCTCCAATATTCAACCACTCAGGCCGCTACACATCTTCCCGAATTGGACCATATAATTAAAAAGGAAGCACACAGCACATACTGTTTAAAAGACGCTAATTGTAGTATATACGCTTTCAAATAAAGTTAGAGTGCAAACGTTAAAATACGATAAAAAAAATTGCGCTACCGGCATCAATAACTAGTGCGCATGCGCGAAAACATAATGATGTCAGACACTGTGCCCTGCCCGATGCAGCATTTAGTTACAAATAACGTCTTCAGGGGAAATGGAAGCACTTTCCCCTGAAGATGTTAAAGAAACGCCCTGGCCACATGAAATGCAATTGCTTGCTATATTTTTAATATCATTGTTATTCAACATTGACCAAATGTTAGGAAAAATGTTTTCCTGTGGAATATTAACAGACTAATTAATTTAAAAAAAATCTATCTGTGAATAAACTGATGAGCAAGAAAAAAATTTTCCTAATCCTTTTAGTTTTTTTGTTTTTTTTTGCTATGTTCCTCAATGAATGTGTATATTTACTTAGTTATCCCTTTTGTAAAGTGAAATCAAATTAAATATCTTTAATTTGAAGGTTTGAAGATTTTCTAGCTCGCAAGTGGTCTTCAGAGAAGAGATTTGGTCTGGAAGGCTGTGAAGTCATGATCCCTGCTTTGAAAATGCTCATTGATAAGTCCAGTGAGATGGGGCTGGAGTATGTCATCCTGGGAATGCCTCATAGGTAGGGTTATATACGTACACTGTATGCTTTGCTAAGATTGAAAACATTTTCTCAAAGGATATACAGTCATTCTTTGTTGAGCCAGAAAATATGGTGATTTGTTGCTTATGTTATAAACATCAAAATGTTTGGGCATATGGGTTTAACGTTTTTGGCAAACCTAGCTGTTAGACCTTAACAGCACATTTTTTTTTTTTTACTTTCTCTGAATTGTATTTCCTAGCACACCAAGTTAATGGACTGGTATCTTTATTCCAGAGGGGTAATGAGTTTTCATTCTGAAAAGTTTATTCACTCCAAAGCATACGTTAAAGAGGAAGTTCACTCTATTTTTAATCTGTATGCTGCTAGCATTAGTAAATAGGAAAGTACTGTATATCATATTTACTTGTTTTAAATGTTTTTTCATTTCTTCAGTTACTTCCTAGTTTCCAGGCCTAGATAAATAATGTCACACATCCCATGAGTCTTCAGGAAGGGAGGAGAAAAGGAGTTTTTTTTCTCCGCTAAACACACCCTCTTGCCTGCATGCCTGAGCTAAGGGCAGATGGATTCCAGGAAGTAATTGTTAAATGAGCCATCTGCCCTTACGCAAGATGGCCACAGACAAAGAAGACAGGGGATCCAAAGTTATTTCTTAGCAAAATAAAGCATGTAAACATGGATGGATGGATGAGTTTGCTCTGAATATTAAAAAATTAATTATTATTATTATACAGGATTTATATATGAACCACTGATGTATTTATACATGTTGATCATATCCTTCCTTAATCTCCTCTTCTCAAGAGAGAATATAAATTCAGTTCCTCTAATATTTCTTCATAGCTGAGCTCCTCCATGCCTCTTATCAGTTTGGTTGCCCTTCTCTGCACATTCTCCAGTTCCCCAATGTTCTTTTTGTGAATTGGTGCCCAAAAACTGAACTGCATATTCCAGATGAGGTATTATTAGTGATTTGTACAGGGGTAATATGATATCTCTCTCTGGAGTCTATACCTCTTTTACCACAAGAGAGGATTTTGCTCGATTTAGGAACCGCAGCTTGGCATTGCATGCCATTATTAAGCTTGTGATCTATCAGAACTCCCAGATCCTTCTCCACCATTGAATCCCCCCAGTTGTGCTCCCCCTAGTATGTATGATGCATGCACAGTCTTAGCCCCCAAGTGCATAACCTTACATTTATCAACATTAAACCTCATTTGCCACATAGTTGCCCAATTAAACAGTGCATTGAGGTCGGCTTGTAAGTTGAAGACATCCTGTAAGGACGTTATTCCACTGAACAGCTTGGTGTCCTCTGCAAAGACTGAAATGGGATTTTTAATCCTATATTGTTTATAACTAAATTAAAAAGTAAGGGTCCCAACACTGAACCTTGGGGTGCACCAGTAACAACCCTAGACCATTCAGAGTATGAATCATTAACCACTACTCTCTGAATATGATCTTTTAGCCAGTTTTCTATCCATTTACATACTGATTTTTCCAAGGCTGTAGACGTTACCTTACATATGTGCTGTACGTTCTGTGTTTCCCCTTTGTGGATTAATACTCCCTAATTTTACAGTGTTGCAAAGTGCCTGTGACTGTGCAGTTCAGTGCTGGCAAATCCCCTATGGAGCAGGGAGGACATTGCTTTCATACAATGTATGTGTTTCAAGCACTTTGGGGAACATGGCACTGTGACACACTTTATTAAGTGTTGTGCCTACCATATTAGCGCACCTTCACCCACGTCATATTGCCTCTATTCATGTGCACTTTTCCTCTGCCTCTACAACCCTTCAGCCTCAGTAGAAGCTTTGCTGCTCCCCGTGAGGATCCCAGGGTCAGTCCTCCTTTGCTGCTACCTATTGTGACTTGGTCACAGAAGGGCTCTTAACTCCTGCATCTGAGTTTCATATTGGTTTTGGTTTGGCTCACTTCCACACACTATAGCAGTCTTTTAGAACAAAGGTACTGGCCCTGCAGGCCTGTCCAGATTTCAGTTCACTGACAGCTCTTGGCCAGTTTGCAGCACTTCTTTGGAACTAACATGGACAGCCTTGTTCACTCTTCTCTGCTTGAGTGTACACACCACTCAGGGTCTTCATTGGCTTTGTCTGATGTAGCTCTCTCCTCCAGGGAGGAATTTTCCAATTGACCATGTTGGATGTTATGCTAAAAATCACTGCTATGATTGCTGACTTAACATGCAGGGGTCATAAATGTATTTCTGTGCCTTCTTCTCCAGAGTCCATCTCTGATATGCCTGCATCTGCTCTTGCATATACAGCTCAGGATGAAGGGGGTGCAGTTTTATCCCTTTTGGATGATCTAGTACTTAGGCAGCCTCGGTCTGCTGACATAACTTCTAGGCCTAAAGATACCATCGAGGCCTTATTGATTTGATGTGTACATGTTTTGAACTGGAGTAACCTGAGTCTGCATCCTCTAGGGTTACCAGTTTTGGCTTCTTCAAAGTCCCCAACCTATTGTCAGTACTTTTCCAGTGCACTAGTTACTACAGCCACTATTGTATGGTGATTGGTCCTGAAAAGTTGTTTTCCCCTATCAAACATTCTACCCAACAATACCCCATTGAAGAGGTGTTTGCCAAGAAATGGTCCCTTGCATCCCTTTCTTGCCTTACAAAACCGACTGTCCCTGTTGAGAACATTCCATTGTTTAAAGATAATTCCCTCTTTTCCATGGCAGAGCAAAACCAAGAATGGCCATTTGTCAAACCTTAGGGCTTTGGAATAAGAATAAATTCAAGTCTCCTGACACAATCTTATCAGATACTTTTGCAACAGTTAGAACTCATTCATGTTGCCCTATACTACTGAGGTGATGGGCTTGTGAATATGGCCTGTCTCATATCCAGAATGAGTTTCCTCTCTGAAGAGGGAATATTTGGCTTAAAGTATAACTATAGGCAAAACTTTTTTTCTTTTTTAGTTTTGGATAGCATGGAGTCGGATTAGAACACCTATTAGGTTCTATTGCTGTCTGAGCCCCATTAGGGAGATTCACCCTCTCTATTTGTCTTGTTTTGTTATCATTAAAAGTGAAAGTAACCCCAAATTTTGGGTTGTCCCCAGAAAAATTAATATAGGAGACATTTTTCCAATGAGGACACCATTTCTGGTAACCTGGCATTCCCCAAGGAATTCCCTTAATTTGCAGGGATTTCTTCTCACTTTCTGCTTTGGCTATGGGACAGGAAGTGAAGGTAAATCTCTCCAGATTGTAAAAAAAAAATCAGGGGTTATAACCCTCCTTTACTCTATTCAAAATGGAAAAAAAAAAAGGTTTACCTATAGTTCTACTTTAAATATTAGTCTTCTTTAGAGCAGTACACAAACTGCTTACTGTGTATGTACATTTTTGGCACTTCCCTGAATAACTTTATAAAAGGGGTCACTGGGGGAAAGGGGTAACCTTTCTCCACAGCAAAGCTAAGACTCAAGATAGAAAACAGCCTTCTAACTCCTGAACAAAACAGAGTTGCTTTAGTTCTCTGTCCTCTAAGCCCATTTCCAGGATTTGGTTTGCTTGCAAACTTTAGATTCCAAACCTGTGATCAAGTCCTCTTCACAGTGAAGGAGTGCCCCCTCTTACCAAAGTGGGGGAATGTCTGTTAGGATTTGCAGTTACTTTTAGTCTAAAGTACATTGTATGCATTGGTGAAGGACCTGGTGTCCTGGGCCTACAAGCTAGAATTTCTAACTCTGCTTCTGCCCCTCTTTATCTTCTTTAACTGCCAGTGTCTCTGCAAGGATTAGCAGACCTCCATGCTGCCCTGCCATAATTTTTTTCCCAAGCAATATCATGCAATGACAAGTTGAGCTAACAAAGCTAGCAAAATACTGTTATTCATTAAAAGGGCATACATTACAGAGATAAATCAATAATTCTACCTCTTTACAAAGCCATGGTTCATCGTATACGGAGGATTGGTAACCAAAAAAGAAAGGAGGTGTAACCTTAGACTGTGGAAAGGATTCTTTACTGTTAGAGCAGTAAAAACATGGAACATCCTTCCTGAGGAATTGATACTGGCTGAGAGCATTGACAGCTTCAAAAAACTTTAGATGTCTTCCTCAAGAAACAGAATATACAAGGCTATAAGAATTGTTAGAGAATAAAAATCACACACATATAAGTTGAACTGTATGGACCAGTATCTTTTTCAAACCTATAATATATGTAATACTGTATGGAAATTCTATTCAGGAAATACTCGGTGTGGACACTTCTTAAATTTTCTCCTGTTTTTGTCTGAATCAGTGGTTGGCCCCAAGCACTAGGATTAGATCTCTGCACCAGCGGTTCTTTCCCAAAGACAATCTTGCCTCTCAATCTTCAGTAAAATACTTTGTACATTGGTTCCACCCAAGTGTCCATCTCTGCATTTCATGAAACCTCAGTCTGGCTCTGTCGGTTCTTTCTTTCCTTTGAACCTTTCAGAAATATCCTTCTGTCTTCCCTCCCTCACAAGGTGGTCTTTCTCCCTGTCTCGCTGCCATTACCTCTACAAGACAAGTTTCTTAGTTGGCCACCTTTTCTTATAAAGACCATTTTCATGCGCTTCCAAGAGCAAAAGGTTGTCTTGAGGTCTAGGGCCTACTTTCTCACTAAGGTGATGTCTTCCTTCCATCTTAACCAGGACATTGCACTTCCATCCCTCGTCTTCCTCCAGAACATTTATTTGCCTGCTGTCTCCTTTTAGATTTACAGTCACCCTCTTTGTCATTCCTGAGGGACCCTGTGGGGGTTGACATGCCTTTCTCCCCACTATTTATAGATAGCTTAGGCAGCTCATCACTCAAGCCTATCAGCTTAATAGCAAAGTTTTATTTTAAGAAAAAAATTAATATGTGCACATATTTTTGCAGGAACAAAAATTAGCGTTTATTATGTTTTCCCACTGGAGACTGCTAAGCATTGTACCCTGTGATCAGTGGATGGTGGGTACAATGTCAGACTCCTTCAGACATGTCCTTCAGTTTGCTGCCTATACCTCTGTACGGACTTTCAGTTAGAAACCTGGAGAAAGTGTTAACGAACTATAAATGCATTGAAAATTGCACTAATAGTCTATTGAGAACTACAATCCATCTGCCTCGATGGAAGACATGACTTATAGTTTATTCAATCACAGATTCCCACCATCTTCGCAGCCACACTGATTTTAAATATGACAGGGGCTGCGTGGGAGAGGAACCCCTGTTCGCTGTCACAGGCTGATGGGCTCATGGGTTGGGGGTGCTGGAACTCTCACTTTCAATGATAATAGTAAATAGGACAAATAGAAAAGGTGAATCTCCCTGTCGGGGGAACAGACAGCACAAACAATCTAAGAGGTGTTCTAATTCCTTTCTACTCTATCCAAAAGTAACAAAAAAAAAAACCACAGTTTTACCTTTATATGTTAAGACTAAGGTTCTATCCTTTCCTGTCAAGGCACATTCTACTAGATCAATAAGTGCCTCTTGGGCTTTTCAGTATCAGGCATTTGTTTTCCTGATTTGCAAAGCCGACACCTGGTCTTTCATTCACGCCTTCTAGTTTAAGTTTTACCAGATGGATGTTCAAGCCTCTGCCGATGCAAGGTCTGGGTGCTATAGGCAGCTCTTTGAGTCTCAAGTAGCCTCAAGTTACACCTTGTTGGCATTTTGTTTGCTGTGTTTCCCACTCCTCAGACTGCTTTGGGATGGCCCAGTGTCTCAGTAGTGTGTGTGTGTGTGTGTGTGTGTAGCAGCTTAAGTGAGTATGGAGTAATATTTCACATAGGAAAGAAAATTGTTGTCTGATATCTGTAGCTACCAGAAATTATATAAGAAAGATACCTTGTGCATCATTCCAGATAGCCCATATTTTTAACTTATTCTGTTAGAAAAAAGATTTTACAGGTAGAACATAAATCCTGTGTTCATGCATATGAGGAAAAAAAGTTTCTGAGAACAAAACGCTGTATACTAAATCTAGCTTGCCTGTCCGCTGCATACAGTTTGTAATAAATAGCAGTTTACTGTAAATCTTTGTTTTTATTGGTTACTTAATGGTCATTTAACTGCGCAGCTCCAAGTCCTGGGTAGCTGGTACAGTTGGTGGGAGGTTACCTGGTCTATGCCAAGAGCATTGGTGCCAGTGCGGTGACATCACTGTTCTAGGAATTCATCAGCATTGTATGCTCTAACCAAGCCACTCAGGACCCATAACTGCGGTTACATGACAGATAGGAAACATATGCTATTTCTTACACATGCACTACTAAAGGCAGCAGGCAGGCAACATTAACCTTAGTTACTAGACAGCTTTTCCCTTTTCTTCAAGTCAAGGATTAAGTGTTGTGATTTGCTCTGCTGTTTGGTGAGTGGAATATTTTTCTTCAGTTTTGTGACTACAATAAGTTTGTTTTGTCACAGATTGTAGTGGAGTACAAAGCTGTCTGTAATGCATTGCACATTTATCATGTGTTCTTTACAGAGGAAGACTAAATGTCTTAGCAAATGTGATCCGCAAAGATTTGGAGCAGATCTTTTGCCAGTTTGACCCTAAGCTGGAGGCTTCAGATGAGGTAATGGTCTTCATGTCAAAGAAATGAATATACTGTATATATGTGGTATCAGAAGAAACACTTTTTCAGTTTTATTACCAAAAATGTCAGCATGTAATAATAATATAGCATTTTAAGTGACACAATCATCCAACATACACCTTCACAAGACTGTAGAAGGCACATTTGGATGAAAGTTTGTTTACGCTAGGTTGCTAGGTATTCTTGCAGGTTCTTCATTTTACTTCTGTATAATCTCAGTTCTTGGCTTTTATGAGACAATGTTCTATAGGTTACTTACATTAACTAGCATGAACAATTTATTGTCTGATGATGAAAGACTGCTGATAAAATGATCAAGAAACTACTTTATAAATATTAGGCGTACAAGCTAGAATTTCCATGTATGATGCACTGTTGGAGTTATTACCATGCTGATACCAGCCCACATGATGTTCAGCATCAGACAGGTGCTGCAAAGATAAAATAACTGGTGCACTCACTTTAAACTCCAATGAGTATTACTAATACTTTAGATGTTGGTGTAGGAATAAAAGAGTAATATCTTAATCGTACAGTACATTACACAGGTAGGATATTCATAGACCTTTTCTTATAGGCAGCTACCTTCAGGTGAATGGACAGTGGCAAAACTTTGTGAGCGCACTTCCTATAACCTTACCTCACATCTTGAGACCTCTGTTTTTTTACTATTGTCCTTTAGATGATGGAGCACTGATGATGATAGAGCAGTGCTTCCAGATTAGAGCAAACTCTGTAAAACCTGGAGAACAGACTTCTGCACTTAGTGCAGTGTGTGTAGTTAACCACAAGGTGCTATACAGGTCCAGGGCCGCTGTACATTCCTATGGTTTCCAGACTCTGAAAACCTTTCCAAGGGTATGCCCATTGTGAAATGCGAAGTCTGGACTAATATAGGGACCAATGATATGGAAATGTAAAACTGGTTTGCCCTTTAGATTTGCACACAGATTGTGCTTGGTTAGCTGCTTCCCTGGCTGTAACAGCTCTGAAAACTTTATTCACTGTAGATGAGATCGAGGAACGTACGCTCCTCGGTCTCCTCTCGCTCGTCATGCTGCTTCTGCTGTGATTTGTCACAGCACAAGCTAATCAGCTTGTGCCAGCCAATTGATACCCACTGGCACATGCTCATCGTTGATGAAAGACTCAGAACACAGCTCTGCCTATGTAAAGAAGGCAGAGCTGTGTCCTGTCAGTGGCGATGTGCTGGGTTTTGCAAAGCAGGGAATAAAATCCTGCACATCCCCTAGTAAATACACCTCACAGCACATATGCCAAGCACTGTTAGGCACACACTTTGATCGCCATAGATGTTAACCCCTTCCCAGCCTGTGTACGTGACAGTGTATATTTTTAACACTGACCGCTGTATTCGTGTCACTGGTTCCCACAAAGTGTCAGATTGTCTGCCGCAATATCGCAGTTCCGCTATAAGTCACTGATCCTTGCTATTACTAGTGTTAAAATAAATAAATAAAATATTCCAGTATATATACCATAATATGTAGACTCTATATAACATTTGTGGAAACCAATCAATATACGCTAATTGGGAATTTTTTATCAAAAATATGTAGCAGAATACATATTGGCCTACTTTTATGAAAAAAATTAATTCCTCCACATTCCTCTTAGATTGATGGCAGTTCCCTTGTCCCAGAGCAAGGTCTTACACTGACACCGCTCCAGTCCCCTAATTCGGACTGCTTCACAGACATACAACATGTGGCCTGTCTGACTAAAGCAAAATGTTCTGCCACTGTGTCTGGATCTGTTCTAAAGGCTGTTGCTACTTCTGGAATCACCGGCTGCTGACACCTATAAATACTCCTTTACCTCTCCCTTAACTGCCTGCTGCTCTTCTATTTTCAGAAAGCAAAGGAGATTCTTACTTTTTATTAGATAACTTCTCGCCACATGCTGGCTACTGTGAAATCATTGGTTGGAGCAGTGCATTCTAGTCACTGGATAGAAAGACACCCACATATTCTCCCAGGCACTAAAAAGAAGCCTATTCCTAGAAACAAATGAAAAAACTGTGGTGCGCTATCTCATCATAAATAGAACCATAATCTTTGGAAACCTAAAATGACTGTGCACAGAAAAGAAATTTAACAGATAATAAACGTCCAATTCAGTATATGTTGCGTATCATCCAGCCATAATCAACACCGTGCTTTACTTGTGGCCCCACTCCCTGCTGACCTTGACCATTGACATATAAATTATAATAGGCCAAAAACACTCGTTATAAGGAAAATGTGTCTTCGAATTTCTGATCCGTGATGTGTTCCTTCCACGTATTATGCTTCTTTAAACTCCAGATCCATGCAAAATAAAACAAAAACATACCATAGTGCAACACCGTTTTTATATAACCAAAAAAATTAAACATGTTACAGTATCCACTCACATTAGACAAATTATATGTGACTCCGAATTATGGTGAACATATATGTATTACTCCATCGTGCCGACTATATAGTGGTGTTTCCCTTCACCGAGTAGGTGCACCATGCACTCATCTTCTTTCCTGACCTAACAGATAGGTCATACACGCTTAGGGATGAAACCAGATTCTACTTATCCACTGCTGACCCCTAAGTAGCTACTTCATTAGGTCTGGGCCTTTAAGGCAGCGGTTCTCAACCTGGGGGTCGCACGACACTTTCCCAGGGGTTGCCTAAGACCATCGGAAAACACATATTTCCGATGGCCTTAGGAACCGAGACACCGCTCCTTGATCCGACTCCAGGTGTGGGCGGGATGACATGCCGTCCCTGTCATCTGGACACACCCCCGGGATCAATCCTCGTCGGTGATTGGCCGCTGGAACTGTAGCTCAGGAGATGCACACAGGCGGCCAATCACCGGCGAGGAGGTGGAGCTTGGAAAGGAGGAGCCGAGCGGAACCGCGAAGATCGAGCGAGTGAAGAGGAGGAGAGCGGCTGGAGAAGGAAGACATCTGACCGGTAAGTGTCTGTACCATGGGAGAGGAGGGAGGGAGCGAGCGAGCCCAGGCTGGAGCAGGGGTCAGCAAGGTAAGTATCATTGGTGTCAGTGGGAGGAATAGTGCCCAATCATTGGTGTCACTAATACCAATGATGGGGCACTATTCCTCCCACTGACACCAACGATGAGGCACGATTCCTCCCCCAAATGACACCAACGATGGGGCACTATTCCTCCCCCCACTGACACCAACGATGGGGCACTATTCCTCCCCCCACTGACACCAACGATGGGCACTATTCCTCCCCCCACTGACACCAACGATGGGCACTATTCCTCCCCCCACTGACACCAACGATGGGCACTATTCCTCCCCCCACTGACACCAACATTGGGGCACTATTCCTCCCACTGACACCAACGTTGGGGCACTATTGCTCCCCCTGATACCAACGATGGGGCACTATTCCTCCCACTGACACCAATGATGGGGCACTATTCCTCCACACTGACACCAATGATGGGGCACTATTCCTCCCACTGACACCAACGATGGGGCACTATACTTCCCACTGATACCAACGATGGGGCACTATACTTCCCACTGATACCAACGATGGGGCACTATTCCTCCCACCACTGACACCAACGATGGGGCACTATTGCTCCCCCCACTGATACCAACGATGGGGCACTATTGCTCCCCCCACTGATACCAACGATGGGGCACTATTCCTCCCACTGACACCAACGATGGGACACTATTCCTCCCCCTGACACCAATGATGGGGCACTATTCCTCCCACTGACACCAACGATGGGGCACTATTCACTATTCCTCCCACTGACACCAACGATGGGGCACTATTCCTCCCACTGACACCAACGATGGGGCACTATTCCTCCCACTGACACCAACGATGGGGCACTATTCCTCCCACTGACACCAACGATGGGGCACTATTCCTCCCACTGACACCAACGATGGGGCACTATTCCTCCCACTGACACCAACGATGGGGCACTATTCCTCCCACTGACACCAACGATGGGGCACTATTCCTCCCACTGACACCAACGATGGGCACTATTCCTCCCACTGACACCAACGATGGGGCACTATTCCTCCCACTGACACACCAACGATGGGGCACTATTCCTCCCACTGACACCAACGATGGGGCACTATTCCCTCCCACTGACACCAACGATGGGGCACTATTCCTCCCACTGACACCAACGATGGGGCACTATTCCTCCCACTGACACCAACGATGGGGCACTATTCCTCCCACTGACACCAACGATGGGGCACTATTCCTCCCACTGACACCAACGATGGGGCACTATTCCTCCCACTGACACCAACGATGGGGCACTATTCCTCCCACTGACACCAACGATGGGGCACTATTCCTCCCACTGACACCAACGATGGGGCACTATTCCTCCCACTGACACCAACGATGGGGCACTATTCCTCCCACTGACACCAACGATGGGGCACTATTCCTCCCACTGACACCAACGATGGGGCACTATTCCTCCCACTGACACCAACGATGGGGCACTATTCCTCCCACTGACACCAACGATGGGGCACTATTCCTCCCACTGACACCAACGATGGGGCACTATTCCTCCCACTGACACCAACGATGGGGCACTATTCCTCCCACTGACACCAACGATGGGGCACTATTCCTCCCACTGACACCAACGATGGGGCACTATTCCTCCCACTGACACAACGATGGGGCACTATTCCTCCCACTGACACCAACGATGGGGCACTATTCCTCCCACTGACACCAACGATGGGGCACTATTCCTCCCACTGACACCAACGATGGGGCACTATTCCTCCCCACTGACACCAACGATGGGGCACTATTCCTCCCACTGACACCAACGATGGGGCACTATTCCTCCCACTGACACCAACGATGGGGCACTATTCCTCCCACTGACACCAACGATGGGGCACTATTCCTCCCACTGACACCAACGATGGGGCACTATTCCTCCCACTGACACCAACGATGGGGCACTATTCCTCCCACTGACACCAACGATGGGGCACTATTCCTCCCACTGACACCAACGATGGGGCACTATTCCTCCCACTGACACCAACGATGGGGCACTATTCCTCCCACTGACACCAACGATGGGGCACTATTCCTCCCACTGACACCAACGATGGGGCACTATTCCTCCCACTGACACCAACGATGGGGCACTATTCCTCCCACTGACACCAACGATGGGGCACTATTCCTCCCACTGACACCAACGATGGGGCACTATTCCTCCCACTGACACCAACGATGGGGCACTATTCCTCCCACTGACACCAACGATGGGGCACTATTCCTCCCACTGACACCAACGATGGGGCACTATTCCTCCCACTGACACCAACGATGGGGCACTATTCCTCCCACTGACACCAACGATGGGGCACTATTCCTCCCACTGACACCAACGATGGGGCACTATTCCTCCCACTGACACCAACGATGGGGCACTATTCCTCCCACTGACACCAACGATGGGGCACTATTCCTCCCACTGACACCAACGATGGGGCACTATTCCTCCCACTGACACCAACGATGGGGCACTATTCCTCCCACTGACACCAACGATGGGGCACTATTCCTCCCACTGACACCAACGATGGGGCACTATTCCTCCCACTGACACCAACGATGGGGCACTATTCCTCCCACTGACACCAACGATGGGGCACTATTCCTCCCACTGACACCAACGATGGGGCACTATTCCTCCCACTGACACCAACGATGGGGCACTATTCCTCCCACTGACACCAACGATGGGGCACTATTCCTCCCACTGACACCAACGATGGGGCACTATTCCTCCCACTGACACCAACGATGGGGCACTATTCCTCCCACTGACACCAACGATGGGGCACTATTCCTCCCACTGACACCAACGATGGGGCACTATTCCTCCCACTGACACCAACGATGGGGCACTATTCCTCCCACTGACACCAACGATGGGGCACTATTCCTCCCACTGACACCAACGATGGGGCACTATTCCTCCCACTGACACCAACGATGGGGCACTATTCCTCCCACTGACACCAACGATGGGCACTATTCCTCCCACTGACACCAACGATGGGGCACTATTCCTCCCACTGACACCAACGATGGGGCACTATTCCTCCCACTGACACCAACGATGGGGCACTATTCCTCCCACTGACACCAACGATGGGGCACTATTCCTCCCACTGACACCAACGATGGGGCACTATTCCTCCCACTGACACCAACGATGGGGCACTATTCCTCCCTGACTGACACCAACATGGGGCACTATTCCTCCCACTGACACCAACGATGGGGCACTATTCCTCCCACTGACACCAACGATGGGGCACTATTCCTCCCACTGACACCAACGATGGGGCACTATTCCTCCCACTGACACCAACGATGGGGCACTATTCCTCCCACTGACACCAACGATGGGGCACTATTCCTACCACTGACACCAACGATGGGGCACTATTCCTACCACTGACACCAACGATGGGACACTATTCCTCCCATTGACATCAGTGATGGGACACTATTCCTCCCATTGACATCAGTGATGGGACACTATTCCTCCCACTGACACCAGTGATGTGGCACTACTCCTCCCATTGACATCAGTGATGGGACACTATTCCTCCCACTGACATCAGTGATGTGGCACTACTCCTCTCTCTGACACCAATGATGTGGCACTACTCTTCCCACTGCAAAATTACAGTTATGAAGTAGTAACGAAAATAATTTTATGGTTGGGGGTCACCACAACATGAGGAACTGTATTAAGGGGTCGCGGCATTAGAAAGGTTGAGAACCACTGCTTTAAGGGAACATACTCTCGGATATCCAGTGGGATTAAGGTGTATATGATAAAAGATAAAGGGAATAGATCATAGTGCAACCCCATAAAATATGAACACTTTATTCATGTAAAAAATGCACTCACAAAAGTAATGAATCAAAAGCATATCTTAGCCATCAATCAAAATGGTTCCTCACATCACTCCTGCCAGTTTGAGCATGACTGGAAGTTACATCACTAGGCTCCGCCTGACATGTTGCGTGTGTCAGGTGACTTCTTCAGGGACCCTCATTCCAAAAAATAGGGAAAGATGCCTCTATTTCAAATTTGTTTCACCTTTGTGAAAAGACATCCTTGACTTTTCTTTCATTCTAAATATCAGAGTTACTGCATATACTAAGCCTATATTGCTGTCCTCTCTCTGCTGTCCTCTGTTACATGTTCCTGCTTGCTGTTTCGTGATAAAGACTTTTTTCCTTACACCTCCTTACAGCCACCAAGCACAAGGAGTAGTATTTTCCTTCATTCTTTTGGAGAATACAAGGATTTTTCAAAATCCTGTACAAGGACCTCTATCCACTTAACATGGCATGTCCCCTCAATCTCCTGAAAACATTTGTTCAAATCACTGTAGTAACTAATCTTCTAACCAGACTCCTTTAGAGCTCTAGGTCTATTGCAGCAGTGTGGGTTCTGCCTGTTCTCCTATAGACCCAACACTATATCTCTTATGAGAGATGTACTGTATTTTTTTTAGAGCAAACGCAATGTGAGGGGTTTTTATTCTCTATATACACACACTCCAGTGTAACCTTACATCACTGAACTGGCAATGCAATGTGGTGCTATTTTATTAGACCCTTAATAAAAACTCTGAGCTTTTATAACCTGCTTGGTCTTTGTGGATTAAAAATAGAAGGTATATTTATTCATAAAAGGAAAAAAAATAACAAAATAAACATTTTATGACCCCGTCCCATGAAATAAATGCTGATATTTGTTTTTAATGGTTTCAGGGATCCGGAGATGTAAAATACCACTTGGGGATGTACCATGAACGTATCAATCGGGCCACCAACAAGAAGTTAACCCTATCTTTGGTTGCAAACCCTTCTCATCTAGAAGCAGTAGATCCTGTAGTTCAGGGAAAGACCAAAGCAGAGCAGTTTTATAGAGGAGACAATGAAGGAAAAAAGGTGAAAAAACATCAATTGCTTTTCAAACTGGGGCCCCAAATTCAATATACATTAAGGAATAACATTAATTTATTGCTTTGCTTATTGATTTAGGTGATGTCCATTTTAGTTCATGGCGATGCAGCCTTTGCTGGTCAAGGTGTTGTCTATGAGACCTTCCATCTCAGTGATCTTCCGTCTTATACCACTAATGGAACCATTCATGTTGTTGTTAACAATCAGGTGAATAATTAACAGTTAACGTTTATTTCTTAAAGTTTAAAAAGTTTTTTTATTGAATGTTTTGTGATTGTGACTAGATGTACTGGCATTTTTATTTTTTTTGCAGATTGGGTTTACCACAGACCCTCGCATGGCCCGCTCTTCCCCATACCCCACAGATGTGGCTCGGGTGGTTAATGCTCCCATATTCCATGTAAATGCAGATGATCCAAAAGCAGTAATGTATGTGTGCAGTGTGGCTGCAGAATGGAGAAACACCTTTCATAAGGATGTTGTGATAGACCTGGTAGGTGTATTTGGTTTCAATTCCCAAGGGAGTGTTATTGTCTTTATGGATTTTCCTTATAATTACTAATTTGATTCAGCTGCTGTTTTTTTAGAGAAAAGGTAAAAGTCTGATTTTTGTTTTTTTTTTATTTAAGCACTTGCCAGCCACCCCATAACAAATGTACTGCTACAGGGTGGCTTCGCTGCGCAAAATCATGTAAATATACGTGATTCTGCATTTCCGAGTAAGGGGCGTGCTTGCCACCCTAGCTGTGCTGCTATTGGCTCCTGAGGATGTCAATCACTGGGTCCCAGCCGCTGATTTTTGGCTGGGACTCCTGACCATCAGTGAAGCTGAGTGGAGAGCAGATCTGTGTGTAAACACAGATCTCTCTCCTGTCAGCAGGTCTGCTTAGTAAAACAGCACACAGTACACAATAAAATCACTCCCTCACACACAGTTAACCTTTTGTTTGCCCCAGATGTTAACCCCTTTCTGCCCAGTGTCATTAGTACAGTGTCAGTGCTTATTATTAGCAATGATCACTGTATTAGTGTCACTGGAGATGTCAGTGGCAGTTCCCACCCAGTGTCAGAATACTATAACTTTCACATAAACCATAGATTATACACTTATTAGGATTTTTTTTAACAAAGACATGTAGCAGAATACATTTTGGCCTAAATTTTAATTTTTTATTGGATATGTTTTACAGCAAAAATTCAAACAGGTTTTTTTTTTTATTTCAAAATTGTCAGTTTTTTTTTCTTTATAGTGCAAAAATAAAAAAGTAAGAAATCTCTATTTGTGGGTAAAAAAATTACGTAAATTTCATTTATGTACAGCATTGCATGTCCGTGCAATTGTCAGTTAAAGTAACGTAATGCCGTATCGCAAAAAAAAATGGCCTGGTCAGGAAGGGGGTAAATCTTCTGGAGGGCAAGTTGTTAAACCAGCTACACAGTTGCTTTATGTCCCTATCTGTTGAATTTATTTATTTGATCCCTGAAGATATATGATGGCATTTTATTGAGTTTCCTGTACCTCTTGAAGCCCTTGTTGATCAGATCTCCCCTCTGAAATTACTGTCTCTTTTGCCACTGCTATATTCCTGACAAAAGGCGGAGCCAATTGCTTAGTATAGTGTGATGTCTGTATTTACCCCTGGGACTCTACTCATAGTTTTACAACAGTTGTTGCTTGTACTTGTTTGTTATGCATAAGGCCTGGTACAAATAAGTTATGGTTTAATAAAAATAGATGTTACCTAGCTACACAAGTTGATAAAACGGTTTGTTTTTTGTATAGTAAAGTATTTTAAAGTGATTCTAAAGGCTTATTTTATTATTATTTTTTTTAAATAACAAACATGCCTATACTTACCTGCTTTGTGCAGTGGTTTTGCACAGAGCAGCCCAGATCCTCCTCTTCTCGGGTCCCTGCCATTACTTGTGGCTCCTCCCTCCTGTCGGTTGCACACACAGCAAGCAGCTTGCTATGGGAGCACCCACTACTCAGTGTGTCCATTCACACACGTAGCTGCGGCTCGGCCCTGCACCCTCTCTCTTCTCATTGGCGCACTAGATGTGATTGACAGCAGTGGAAGCCAATGGCTCCCTCTTCTCTCTCAGCCAATGAGGAGAGGGAGTCCCAGAATAGCCGAGACTCCAGTGCACATCACTAAATTGGGAGAGGGCTTAGGTGAGTATTAGCGGGGGCTGGGGGGATGCTGCATAGAGAAGGTTTTTTACCTTCATGCATAGAATGCATGAAGGTAAAAAAACTTGAACCTTTATAACCACTTTAAAATTGTCTTTATATTTGTATAGGTCTGTTACCGTCGCAGTGGACATAATGAAATGGACGAACCCATGTTCACCCAGCCCTTGATGTACAAACAGATCCATAAGCAGGTCCCGGTGTTGAAGAAGTACGCAGACAAACTGATCTCTGAGGGCATTGTTTCCCTGCAAGAGTTTGAGGTACAGTCCAACAATACACTATTACATTACTGCATGAATGCATCCAAAAACAAATGAGAACGAGATCTCCAAATGGCAAAAATTCTTTCTTTACTTCCAAGTGTATCTTCATACAAAAATTAGTACGTCTGCGCAGTTTTATGCATAACACTGCTCTTCATCAAGCTACAATTATGTTGCTTCCGGGTCATTAACAGTAAGGGGAGATCTACCGGTGGTACCCACCATGCAGGTCCTAGGTCTGCTGATGGGAGCGCAGAGCCTGGAAAGCATGGCAGGGCACATGGGGGGTGTGTGGAAGCAATCTGGAAGCTGCACAGTTATTGGATCAGTTCTTCCCGACAGTCAGCCTGTCAGATTTACACACACTCAATGAGATGCTTCCTGTTAGTTCTTATTTACACTTGTGTGTGTGTGTTTGAGGGTCAATAAAAAATGTGTAGCTGAGCAACACTTTTACCATTCCCCAACCACTCCCCATTATGCTGCAAAGGCACTGTCACTGTAGTATGGCAGCAGGAGGTTTTACACAACACCCCGCCACTATTGCCATACTATGATGGCAGTGCCTTTGCAGCATAATGAGGGGTGTTTGGGGAAGGTAAAAGTGTGGCTCAGCCACACGTTTTTAATCTCCCTCAAACACAAGTGTAACTACCAGGAAGCATCTCACATTGCTTATGTGATCGTCATCATTATCGTGATGATCATCACACAGTACAAAAGGTGCTGTATGTCTGTCTGTCTACAGCGTATGGCTGTATCTTTGTCTGTGCCTCAGAAAACAGAAATTGCCTGTGCACCGGGTTCTCATTGCTGCCTGTGCCCTTGGCCATCTCTCTGGTTAATCGCCTCCTGCCGCCAGGCTACAGCCTCACTTTCCACCCTCCTAACTCCGCCAGTGAAAGAATCACTCTGCCAGTGAAAGGCTGTGAGCGGCCAATCAGCATTACAGAATCCAGCGTGGCTTTAGCTGCCTGCGCCTGAAATTGAAAAAAAAGAGTCCCTCCATGCTTCTTGCCTTTCCTCTGGGGAACTATTGGCACGCCTGCATTTTTCTTAGACAATGCACCATTTTGCCCAGAGAATTGTTGCAGTTTAGGCATTCTCATGTTTATTTCTTTTGTTTGTATTGGTATGACACAAACAAGTGGAGAAAGAAATAGCCAAATATGACACATTCCACGGAAAACCCCAAAAATGGAATAGACAGAATTCTTGGCACCTCCTCAAAATTGTAAGAAATAATTGCATTCCAAATTTGTGACTTGCAATTTGTAATTAAGCTCACCTGTATCAATTAACAGGTGCTGACAATATAGAAATCACACTGGCAACCAGTTAAAATTTCTGTTGTGTGTCTTTATGTTCCGCATGGAGAAGAAAAGGAGCAGCAAAGAATTGTCTGAGGACTTGAGAACAAAAATTGTGGAAAAGCATGGACAATCTCAAGGTTACAAGTCCATCTCCAGAGATCTTAATGTTCCTCTGTACACTGTGCGCAACATTATCAAGATGTTTACAGCCCTTGGCACTGTAGCAAATCTCCCTGGACGTGGATAAAGATTGCAACGGATTGTTTGAATGTTGGATAAAGAACCTTGATCAATTTCCAGACAAATTCAAGCTGACCTTCAGGCACAGGATCCAACTCTCACTATACATCGCCATCTGAATGAAAAGGGACGCTATGGTAGGAGACCCAGGAGGACTCCACTGCTGACACAGAACTATAAAAAAGCCAGATTGGAGTTTGCCAAAACTTACCTGAGGAAGCCAAAATTCTTTTGGGAGAATGTACTGTGGACATATGAAACAAAATTACAGCTTTTTGGTAAAACCCATTGTTCTGCTGTTTTCAGAAAAAGAAATGAGGCCTTTGAAGAAAAGAATACAGTCCCTACAGTCAAACATGGTGAAGGTTCACTGATGTTTTGGGGTTGATTTGCTGCTTCAGGCACTGGATGTCTTGATGGTGTGCATGGCATTATGAAATCTGAAGACTATCAAAGAATTCTGGAGTGCAGTGTCGGGCCTGGTGTCAGCAAGTTAGGTCTCCGCCAGAGGTCATGGGTCTTACAGCAGGACAATGACCCAAAGCGCATGTGAAAAAGCACCCAGAAATGGTTTGACATTGATGCTGAGAATGCCTAAACACTTGTAATTGAAACCGTTTTCTGGGTGAAGTAGATCATCATCTGGCAGAAATACAGGGGTACCAATATTTTTGGCCATGACTGTAGTTATTTTTATGTTTCTAGACTACAAAAAGTAACATTTATTAAGTCTCTTTCCGAAATATATCCACTTCAATTCCTTTTTTTTTCGTTTATAGTTTTTATAAATTTGCCTAATCTCTTATTGCAGGAGGAGATTGCCAAGTATGACAAGATCTGTGAGGAGGCATATACACAGTCCAAGGACAAGAAAATCCTTAACATCAAGCACTGGTTGGACTCTCCTTGGCCAGGTAAAATAAAAATCTGTTTGGTGGTTCTGGAAAAATGACTGTTCATGAATGTTACAATAGTTTTTTTTTTTTAATTCTGTAGGCTTTTTCACTTTAGAGGGGGAACCAAAAAGCATGACCTGTCCCCCAACTGGTATCCCTGAGGATATGCTTTCTCATATTGGCAATGTTGCCAGCTCTGTCCCAGTGGAGAACTTTAAAATCCATGGAGGCAAGTAGATGTAATTGTTTTTCTTTAACCTTTAATATCTCTTTTTTATTTTGGATGTACATGTCTGTTTTAGATAGCAGTAGGGCACCAAGGGCTTTGACACACACAATATGCAGCTGGTGAAAAATAAACTGCTGCTCAGCAAACTTGTTCTTGCTTGGCAGTTCAGAAAGCATGAAATATATTGTTCCAGCGTTATATCCAGGCATCTAGCATTTTCTGAAGGAGAGATCAGCAATGACAGCATACATTGCTCTATTCCGAGTCAGTTACCAGATGTAGCAGAAGAGGGGTAAATGGGGCTGGCAGGGAACACTGAACTTTTTTGTGGTGGAAAATGATTGACCAAACAGCTGTGCTCCTTCTTCACATCTGGTTCTTAAAGTGGCGCTAAACTTAGTGATACATACCTTTTTGTTTCACTGGTCAGATACCTGTGAGGTCTCCCACTGGTGCCTGTATCTTCTCCCTGTCCTCTTCCGGTTGCCAATCCCTCACCCATCTTGATTGCCCAGCGTGGCATGATGTCAGTCCTGCGCATGCACAGTAGTGCAGTCATCCCGACACATGGACACTGTGCCAGAATGTCAGGGCTCCCAGGTATGACCAGAGGTGTGTGACTGAAGCAGGGAAACGCAGACCTCAGATATGTTATAAACAATATAATTTATTAACACTAACAGTACAAACATAAACGCAGTGCAATACTAAAACATAATACGGTGCAAACAAACCAAACCAAACCACCCACAGATAACAGTATATACAAGCAAGCGTCGTCAGGCAGGCCGGGTCAATATCAATTGGGCAGGTAGGTACAGGGGGAGCAAGAGGAGAATGGTCGGGTCACAGGCCAGGTTCAGCAGGTAGCAAGCAGCATAGTACAGAGGGTCAGACAGAGGGATGGTCAGGGTCACAAGCCAGGATCAGAGCAGGAGAAGTCAGCAAAGGAACAGAAACAGGATGCAGGACAGATACAGGGCCCAGGACAAACACAACACCAAGGCAGAGTCTGCAAGTCTGGCCATCCCTTAAATACACCAGTATCATCAGTTCCAGGTGTTAGCTGGCTGAAAGGTTGAGTCTCTGATTGCTGGGAGCACCCGCTGGCCAGCCCTGGTACTGCAGATCAAAAGGCAGGTGAGTCCCACCATTGCTGGCCAGTCCATTCCTAACACAGAATGTCAACTGAACTGAGCATGCACAGCTCATTGTACATTCTACAGAAGACTGTGAGCAGGCAAGTAGGTGTGTTTTATTGTGGAAGAGACATTTGTTCCACTTGAAGCCGCAATGCCAATTTTACATCATTGTGAGAAGTAAAAAAAGCAAGTTGCAGGGTGTTTCATGGAATGCAAGTGTGTAGGTAACAGGACTTACCCGTACAAAAACTGGATGGGTGAGAGTTATGCAGTAGAGATGCATGAAAAATAAACTTTCTTAGAGTAGGGAGGGGTTAGAACTATCACACTTTCATTTTTCTTTGCAACCTTTCTGGGGAGTATTTTTTTTTTACAGAAGTTCCCATTATCATGGACCCATGCAGAAATAAAACCTTGAGGGTTCTAAGCCTCCTCCTACTCTAGTAAAAAAATAAATAAATAAATAAAACGTTTTAGTTAGCATTACACTTTAAAGTTGGCTAAAGGTTAAACACAGAGTTTAACTGCTTCTCATTGGCCTATAGACAAATGATGGTCCGAATGGGACCACTGCTATTCTGAGTGGACGTCATATGATGTTCTTCTAGTCACGTGCCTTTAGCATGCCCTAGGGGCTGTGCTACAGCGCAATCTGTTTCCTGTGGACACAGCGGATGACAGATCATTGTACTGGCCAGCCCTGGTACCCTGCGATTGCTGTGACCAATCATAGCGATCACATGACAGTTGTACACAATGAATGGCTTTCATTCATAGCCATTCATTGTGCACTATGTTGATGAGCTGCTGTAATCAGTCACAGTAATCACATGGTGCAGACAGAGCCGATCTATGATGCATCTGTACCATGTGACAGCTGTGGCCAATCACAGTAGTACACAATGAATCGCTATAAATTAATTGATGCCATTCATAAAAATGATTGCTTATAACAGTCATCACTGGTATAAGTAATCATAGTGTAAACAAAAAAAACTCATGATCACTTCCCCAGAGTAGTACAGTGTCACTATGGTAACACCTGCACTGCTCTGGTCGCAGTAGGTAAAAAAAATGAAAAACAAAACACAACCACATCAGTCATGTGTACTGCTCTGGTGACAGTGGGATCGCATGCAGTATTTAGTTGTCCAAAAATATCCCATGCGATCCTGAAAATTGTAAACTCACTATGCCGTTTTGCAGTATTTACCACTAAACGCTCAAATGTTCAGTAAATTCTGAATGAAAGGGTCAAAGTCAATTCAAAGAAGGAAATAAATAATAAATGCATACGATAATTAAGTAATGGTCCCGGCATGTGGTATTTAAGAAATGTACAAATATAATAGCCAATTTCCCAAGTCGTCTTCCAGGACAGCCCAAGAGACGTAGAGCTCCTCCCACGGGGACAGGAAACACATTACCCCCACGGATTAAAAGGCGGTCCTCCAGGTCCTAGCCTCAGTTATTAGTGTTTCCTCTGGAGAGGGTTAACATGTTTCCTGGAACTACTGGAAAAGTTTTCCCCAGGGCTGACTGGGAGCTCTGTCGGGAGGTGACTTACCCCAGAAATCCTTGTCTTCTGGCCCTGCAGCAATCCCCTTCATGTAATGGTAATGGGGTAAGGAAGCCGGTACAGTCCAGCCTTTCCAGGGTCCGGGGAGGGCCAGACCGGCGTTTGGCATGCCTTTGCCATGTTTCCCCAGGCTGGAGTGGAATGGGGCCGCGATCACCAGCGCAGTAGTAAACATTCACAGTGCAGAGAGGAAAAAGTATGTGAACCTTTGGACTTAATAACTGGTTGACCCTCCTTTGGCATCAATAACCTCAACCAAACGTTTCCTGTAGTTGCAGATCAGACCTGCACAACGATCTGGAGTAATTTTAGATCACTCCTTCTTCACAAAACTGTTTCAGTGTAGCAATATTCTTGGGATGTCTGGTGTGAATCGCTCTCTTAAGGTCATGCCACAGCATTTCAGTTGGGTTGAGGTCAGGACTCTGACTGGGCCACTCCAGAAAGCATATTCTGTGCTGTTGCAGCCATTGTTTTGTTGAATTACTTGTATGTTTTGGGTCATTGTCCTGTTGCATCACCCATCCTCTGCGGAGCTTCAGTTGGCGGACAGATGGTCGTACGTTTTCCTGCAAAATGTCTTGATACACTCTGGAATTCATTTTCCCATTAATGACAACAATCCGTCCAGGCCCTGAGGCAGCAAAGCAGCCCCAAACCATGATGCTCCCTCCGCCATGTTTTACAGTGGAGATGAGGTTTTGATGTTGGTGTGGTGTGCCTTTTTTTCTCCACACATAGTGTTGTGTGTTCTTCCCAAACAACTCAATCTTGGTTTCATCTGTCCACAGTATATTTTGCCAGTAGTGCTGTGGAACATCCAGGTGCTCTTTTGCAAACTTCAAACGTGCTGCAATATTCTTTTTGGACAGCCATGGCTTCTTCCGTGGTGTCCTCCCATGTACTCCATTCTTGTTTAATGTTTTCCTTATTGTAAATGTGTCAACAAAAATGTTAGCATGTGCCAGAGATTTCTGTAGGTCTTTAGCTGACACTCTGGGATTCTTCTTTACCTCATGCAGCATTCTGCGCTGTGCTCTTGCAGACATTTTTACAGGTCGACCACGCCTAGGGAGACTAGCAACAGTGCTAAACTTTCTCCATTTGTAGACAGTGTCTTACCGTGGACACATGAACATCAAAGCTTTTGGAGATACTTTTGTAACCCTTTCCAGCTTCATGCAAGTCACCAATTTTTGATCGTAGGTTTTCTGAGAGCTCTTTTCTGCGAGGCATGGTTCACATCAGACAGTGCTTCTTGAAACCAGTAAACCGAAAACATGTGTGTGTTTTTTAAGGGCAGGACAGCTGTCAGCAACACATCCTATATCATCACACTGATTGGAGTCAAGGTTGGCTCACTCCTGGCTCCAATTAGCTCTGGGAGAAGTCATTAAGCTAGGGCCTCACATACTTTTTCCTCCCTGCACTGTGAATGTTTACATGTTATGTGCAATTAAACCATGGCAACATCTAATGTTTGTGTAGTATTATGTTCAGCAGACTGTGTTCTTCTATTGTTGTGACTTAGATGACATTCAGAGCACATTTTATGCCCAATTCATGCAAAACTCCACGTAATCCCAAGGGGTTCACATAATTTTTCTTGCAACTGTAATTGCCAAAAGCTGGTTTCGAGAGCTATCTATTCCAAAGTCTGGAAAAAATTAAATTTTTGGATAGTGGAACAAAAGCGTTCTGAACCCTCCACTGAAACAATCCTGTTTTTTTTCCAAGAGGGTATAGCCAAGGGTTTATCCTTGAACATCATTAAAGTGCAAGCAGCAGCTTTAGGAGTTTTTCAGAGAGTTTCTCTCCTGGAAGATGTATAATTGTGCGATTCTTTAAACCAGTGGCCAAAATGAGACCTGTGGTGTTGAAGTTTTGTCCTTCCTGGGACCTTTAGCTATCATACAAGTATTGATGTCTAGTCTGTTTGAACCTTTGGAGTGGGCATCCGTTAAAGTGGTTACTTGGAAGACTGTATTTTTGGTGGCCATTACCACGGCACGTAGGATTAGTGAACTACAATCTCATTAGATTTTTGATGACAGGATAGTTCTCAAGACAGTTCCTGGATTTTTGCCTAAAGTAGTCGCGTGTTTTCATAGGTCGCAAGATATTGTTCTACCCTCCTTTTATACCTCCCCCTTAAATGAAAAAGAGGAGAAGTTCAGTTTAATTGACATTAGATGTCTCTTATACGGTTTGTGTTTGTCAACTCAATTCAGAAAGTCCGATGCTCTATTTGTCCTTTTTTCTGGCAAACGAAGAGGGTT